CTTTTGGCATTGGTCCTAAAACTCTTTCTGGTCAACTTCTGTCCAGATAGAAGCAAGACAAACAGAATAAGCATGGTGTCATTTGGAGATCTTTTTACACTGTTTTTTATTTGTTTGTTTTGTTGTCTATTCTGCCTCTGATTTAACCCCTAAAGATTCAAGGGAAAGTTTTTGAACAACAAAACTGGTTTCCTTCTCCTGTAATCTGCAATACTATAACTTCTTTTGAATCTTTGAAAAACAACTTGTTGGAAATTTGTAAAATGTGAAATCAATGCTTAAAATCCAAATTACTTGTGCGAAGATGATGCTTAAGACTGATGACACATGATAAATCAACCGCAGAGAAACTACTATGTATTCATAATTTCATGAGCTTTACCTCCCTCTATTCATCTTTGTCTTGAGATTATATGAATTTATTTCATGATCTGAGAATCAAACCTTCTGACCTCCTACACTTTACCATTGAGTGACTTCTTTGACCTTGTATTTTTTTTTTTTTTGGGTAAGGAACAAAGGATTTATTTTGGATATTTTGAGTATACTATAACATTCATCCTTTTTAATATTAAATTATCTGATTGTTGATAATTGAATTATTTCCCATAATAATTGCACAGGTTATTTGTGTGTCTTTACCTTAAAACCAGATGCTCTGATTTATGATTAAACATATCAATGGTGACAGATCTTACCTTATTCAAATTCTCGTGCAAATAAGTTCCATCCTAGTGCTTGGTAAAATTTCAAGAAAGGTTAACTCAAGAGCAATTCCACAAGAAAGTGATCCTGTAGAAAACATCAGTCTCTTTTGTGGAGAAAAGATGAACTGCCCTAATGCCCGCCCCCCATAGCAATATCAACAAATTCACACTTGTTGCAAATATTAATAAACATTTACTGAATCATAACACTGTCAGAAAGACAATCAACGGGGACCTTTAATCAAGAAATGTTCTCTTTCGCATTACCATCCTAGATGATTTGTTTGCTAACAGAAATAAATGTGATTATTTAAAATGTAATTATATGGAGATAGGCATCTGTCTTAACCAACCATGCCATCACATTCTTGTTAGTTATTTCAAACTGTAGACTTCATCACTTGTCCAGTGGATGTTTTGTGTAACTTTGAAATTAAGTCTAACATTAAACTCAATTGAAAGAAAAGAAAATAAAAATGATCTTGGAAATTCATTGAATTTTGCGATCTTGTGATCTCCTTGGTCTAGTGGGGAATTACAGGGAAGAATGAGGAAGCAGCAAATGCTAGCTAAAATGCCACCGTTTCTTCAGCTTCTCTCCTCTTTCCCATTTGATGGTTTTTCTGGGTCTTTCTGGCTCATTCAGAGCCGTTGTTTCTTTTTCTCTTCTAATTTATTTATATTCTTCCACTCTGACAAAATACTACCGATAACAGTGATATTTCTCATTGTTTTGGGGTCCGAAATTCTGTGCTTTAAATTACAGTCCAGGACTTGAAATTCCTCTGAGACCCCACTCACTAACACTGGCAGATAGCTTACTGACTCTGTCCAAGGAATTTTCCCTTCCTCTGTGTTTTTTTTTTTCTGAATACCATGATCAAATTAGCCTTCTAAAAGCATCATGATTACTCTATAGCATAGGATTCCATCCTTCTTTCAGTCAGAAACTCTGCAACTCATATCAAATGCCGTTCCAGCTTCCTGGCGCATAAGCGTGTTCTCATGTGCCATTTATGACTCAACTTTCAAATACAAATCCCAGCATTAAGTGAGAACAAGGGCCTTGTCATTTATTGAATTCCTTCTTTTGCCTGGAATCTTCACAGGTTCCTGATATAGATTACCTTTACTGAACTCTTTGACCACCTGATAAAATCAGTACTGAAATCCAATATGAGCAATAAAATGCAGAAAGTATAGTTTGGCAACTCCAATACAATGGACAGAATACTGGCTCTTGCTTCCTTCAAAACTTGTGGCCTCCATTTGGGCTGCTTCTTGTGACTCAACTTTGTTTTATCCTTTATAATAGTAGATTGGATTGGTTCTAAAAAGGAAATTGGGACTATTTAAATAAATAAAAAACATAATATGCTAGTTTTTGCTTCTTTGTTTGTTCTGTTTTTCAAGACAGGGTTTCTTTGTGTAACAGTCCTGGCTGTCCTGGAAATCATTTTGAAGACCAGCCTGGCCTGGAACTCACAGAGATCCAACAGCCTCTGCCTCCCTCCTGAGTGCTGGAATTAAAGGCATGTTCCACCATGCATAGAACAAGCATCAGTTTTAATTCAAGTCAATATATACTTATAATGGATTTTATTTCTCCCGTAGTGTATTTTACTTGAATGTGTTATGGAGTATATATCTGTCAATATAAGACTTATATAATTATTGTTCATGTCATATTTAGATTTACCTAAATACAATTGGTTTATTAGTTCACTTAATGTGTCACTTAATTAAGGGAATCACTTAATGTCTCAGCATCTGTTGATGTTCATAGTAACTGTAAATAGTTCCATATTAAGACCAAAAATCAGGTACACAAATGTTAAAAAATGGTTGAAAATTTTTTAGCAATTTACAGAACTATAATTTCCAAAGATAAACTCACTTTTAATACTTGCGCTTGTCCTAGAGTCAGAGATTGCGGCGGTTATTTATATTGACATATTTCAATGTCATGCCATTAATTAAATTTGTTTTTCTCTGCATTACTTTCAAAACGCTTTTTATTTCATTGTAGTAGACGTTCTACATTATATTTTTGAGTTTTCTACTGATCCACGTGGCTACAAATCTGCAATATACTGTCATTTTCAATCTCCAATTTTACCAACCTTTATTCCAAACTATTCTTGCTCAAACTACCATTTTTTCTCTTTTAATATGAACAAGTGTTTCAGTGCACACTTGTAGCATACATAAATGCATTGAATTAAATATTTGAAAGCATTAAAGAAGATTAGATTTTGTTCCTTATAAGTCTCCTAGGAGGATAGAACTATTTTAAAAATATATGACTAAAACATTCAAGTCCTTATTTCTATTTTAATTTTGTTAGTATTTATTTCATATATTACCCATTAACCTTAAATAAATACTTAAAGAAAAGAAAAGTCTTTGAAGCTTTTGGTAGTTCTTTTCAGAATCAGGTTGTAGAGGGAAACATTAGTGTTTTAGAGTCAGCTTGAGCAGCAGTAGGATTCAGCTGGAGGCCCTTTGTTGTTCTAACATGCACAAGAGCCACACGTTCTTGCATATTCGAGATTTGCTTGCAGATGGTATTTCTCTATAAAATCATGGATATTTGTAGGCATCAGATTTTTTAAATTAAAAGTACCAGTTTGAAAATGTGTGGTTCACTTGGTCTTACCTCTTTCAAGCTCGTTTGGCGTCTGAGTAGTGCTTTTCTCATCAGACATCATATAGAATGGTGACGGACGGGACCTGTGTTCCAATCATCAACTTTCTCCTTGCTGCCCTGATCCCTGTCTCTAGGCATTAACTGTACCACATAGGGCGCCTGTTGATATTGAGTCTTCCACGTTCAGTTAGGTTGAGAAAGACATTTTTATGAAGTACATTTGCATCTCTGTAAGGCATATTGTGAAGCATTGCTACTGTGTGTATGGTGATGACTCTGAAATAGTCATTAGCAATTCATAGGTGTAGTGCAGGTTGTGATATATGACTTAAAATATAATATCCTTAGTCTTTTTATTGTTTCTACACATGGCTTTTGAACAGGATTATTTTACAAAGGTTCCGATCAAAGTTTCATGTATATAAAAGTATGCTTGTTTAGAGTTTAGATACGCTACTGATAACCCGTAAATTTCAAAAATTATCATAAAATTTTCATTGTTCAGGAACAGATATTCAGACAGTAGACAGATTTATGTTCATGTAGATTATGAACAGCCTAGTCATTAACATTTATTCTATACCAAACGTTTAATTTTAATTATATATTAATTTCATTGTATTTTAAATCATTAAATATTGTATATGTAGCAATTACTATGTCAATATTATTCTACCCACTATATACGTTTATGCATTTTAGGAGTTTAATGTTAAGCTTCACTTATTTCTACTCTTGCAGGAATATTAAGTAATATTCCTTTATTTATCATACCAGAAAAGTGAGGCCCTGAGTTATTAAATGGCTAACATAAGGTCACGATGTCAGTAGCACAGTAATTGAGATAAAGTGGCTGTCTCCCAGGACTATGCTCATTATATCTGTGCTACAACAAGATTTTAAAAATGTGAAAATTTGACTCATGATAAAGTCATGTATTTCAAAAAGATTTTTATTTTAAATCTAGCAAAATAAAGCTCAATATCAATTACATAAGTATTATATAAAAATTTTAGCATTAAGTCTTTTGTATTCAAATTTTACATTTATAATTTTAAGGATATTTGCATATGCTTAATAAGATATCTTTTTTAGGTGTGGTGTCATCAAAATTTCGATTTAGGCAGTACTTCAACTTGAATTTCAGTATTGAAGTTTTAGACAATGAAGTATGAGTATCTTCTCATATAAACATAAATATGTAATCAATGATCTTATGAAGTTATTTAAAAGCAGAGTATTTAGTATTTAGAATACCATGAATTTTACAAGTGGTAATAAGTGAGAACATTTATTCTAACGCTAAGTAAACATTTTATTTGTGGAAAATGTTTAAATAAATCCCCCCATAAATCTCTATTTACATTTAGCATTATACTATTTAAATTAATTTGTCCAGTAGTGACAGAATTATTTCACACATGCTTGAGGCTGGGGTATAAACTGGTAATAATTGCATAAGTAATGTCCTTTGGATTGTTTATTCATTTAGTATATGATATTTCTGCTCATTAAAGAAAGTGGGAAACTTGTTTTAGGTACAAAATACAAGACTTATTCAAGAAACTAACATACAAATATCATCTTTGGATAACCTACCCTTTCTTTTCTTTTTTTTTTTTTTTTTCTTTTCTGTTTTGCAGGTGTCCGACTTGGAATAGCCGTGTTTATTTTTGAAGAATTTTTCTTACTCTTGTTGTGTTTGTTTTTAATCATTGCTATTGGAATACAGAAGAGGAACCAGGAATATACTCATTTGGTTTCCCTTCGAAATACATTCTTGAGGCATTCTCGCCTGAGAACACAGCCATGTGGCCACCACAGCTGCTCATCCTCTTGATGCTGTTCGCACCTGGAGTGCATGGTAAGTGCTCTTGGCCTTGTGTAACCCCGTAGTCCCACTTACTCATAGAAGACCCTTTCTTTGAAGTCTTCTCTTTGGGATGATGTAGCTGTTTCTTACTTTATAGTCACATGAGTAAGAACCATGCCACACACTCTGAGCTACCAATTTACAACTTTTCCGTAGGAATTCTTCAAGTCCCCACTGAAATCTGAAGGGAACCTAAAACATTTGTCTACTTTTTCTTTTTGTTTCAAAATAGAGCTCCTACAGATTTTGCTCTTTGATTTACCAAGCTATGAAAACTATTGCCAATTGAATTAATTAATTAGGATAAAGTAAGTTTGCATATTTACTGTAAGAGAAGGAGCATTTGGAAGAAAGTGCAGTTTGCTTTCCCCTAAAAAAGTAATCTCTTGCTTTTCAATGGTGTTTATTACTATGTAAAACTAATATGAAAAATGCAAACTATGATTTCTTGCTAAAAACATCTTATTCTTATTACACAACTTTTTCAATATAAAGCAAATAAAATGCAAATGTTTGGAGAAAGGTAATTTTATAGAAAATACTGATTAGGCTCATGATCAACTTTCTCCTATTGTTTATATAGACTTCTTGGTACTTTCCTCACTATGAGAATTTAAATAATATATACTTTAAAAATTTTTATAAATTATTTATTTCTTCAGGAAAGCAGCCTCTTGTGCAGCTTTCAATTTAATATTCATTTTAATTTCACTAAAACTAGTAATTTGACATTTCTATGTATGTTCCCTTTCACAGTTTAAAGTTTTCTGCTAACTATCATTGGCTTTACATTAAAATGAAAGTGTTAATCTCTCCATAGTCTCATGGTTCTTATAGCAAAGTAAGAGGACACAGCTGTGTGTGCCACTGCTTAGAGGGTTTCTGAAATCTAGTGTAGTGAGCCCTGGAATAGATTAGCTGTTTCATTAGGTCACTTCCAGTTTCTGACTGACAGCTTGAAACCCTTTGTAACTGCGACAAGTCTTTGAGTCTGGCCAATGTTCCTAACCTGTAGCGTGAAGTTCATTCTGCTGTTAGTGTGAAAACAGGATAAAATATCTTTTGTGGTTTTTCGAAGTGTTCCTCTAAAGTTATCACATCTGGTATACTCAGTGCTAACAAATCTCTAAAAGATGGAGATAATTTTTTAACTTGAAAGTAAAACCTTCAGACAAAGTCTGTGTTTTAAATATGGAGGTTTATCAATAATTTAATTATGTATGCCTTCTTAATCTGAATTCAGCTCTTCCAGTCTTAACATTTTGCAATATACAATAAGAAAGGGGAAAAAAAAACGTGATTTTTAAAACATTCCTTTTCTAATTATCCATACATCTTAAGTCATTTAAATTATATCCTTTTACTTAAAAATCAGAAAAACAAATGATTTATTTGTTTATTTTGAGGATTAAATAAAATAACATATATAAAGAATCCTATTTCTGTAGAACAAGTCTTAAAACATTAATTTCCTTGTCTGTCCTACATTTTATTTTTTTTGTTTGAGTAATTATATCAATGCATAATTAATTGACCATGAGAGGTGCTTCACTTAATGTTGGTATTCAGAAAATAATATAAGTATATATATTAATATACACAAATTTATGTTCAGAAAGTCACTCTAAACTACTTGCTAGAACAAGGTTGTTTAAAACAATGAAACAGTGATGTATGGAATATCATTATGTCATAGCTGATACCTCAAATTTTCTAAAACATATACCTTGTTATGTACCAATTAATCCTAAACATAGACAAGCCCATAAGTATGGGTCTTTCGGGGGCTCCTATAATCTGACTGAACATTTAGGTGCATGAGCACGCGCTTGCGCACACACACATACACAGATGGAGAAACAAAGACAGAGAGACAAAGAGAGAGGATAGATGGCAGAGACAGAGAAAGAATAAGTACCCAATACCCTGAGCAGAAAATACCTTTAAAAAGTTGCTAGTATACTTACTTTATGTTAATCCTAAGAGCCAAAATTATCTTGTCTTATGTTTAGACTACCTAGATCACCTTAATGTTGTTTATTTTTAGCAGCCCAAGTACTATTGAGATTTTCTAAGGATAAACTTTATCTTTCTGACTTTTCATGTTTTAAAACTTTCAACCATGGAAAACATGAGAGCATTTCCCACCGTCTATAGGAAACCTTTTTAGCTTGTGTGATGCCATTTCTAACTTTGCAGAAAAGAAAGGGCTTTAGTGACCAGCTTTTGAGGCCCAGATTGCTCATAAATGGAGAAGTATACCACTGGTTAGAGCTCAGATGTAACAGGATAAAAATTATTAGTGTTCTGCCAATTCAGGCTCTGCATAATTTGAACCATCAGATGGTAGAACTAAAATTCACATTACTTAATGAAGCTTTTTTTTTCACCCCCAAAAAATTCTTTGATGATATCTCTTTTGTTCCTTCTGATGTTCAGGGAAGCTGTCCTTTAGAAAAATGGAATCCACTTTTCTCAATAGTAACCTGATTGAAGTCCCTCCTCCGAGCAAATAATTAGTCGTGGTGCCCACTGAACCTAATAATCTTTTGTTTATGGCCATAGATGCAGTAAGCATCACAACAAATTATGGCCACAAGTGTATGATTATTTGGTTCAGGTCTCCCTCACAACCCTTCCATGGGTTTATTAGCATCACCCGTTATCATCATTACCATTAGTAACAGATAAAAATATAGCTGTGCTGAATGGGAAAGCCCCTTGAATGGTGTTACACAATTCTTAACAATGCTCACGGGAATGCTCACCAATAGCCTGCTTCATCGGTTCGGGTCTCCCTGCCAGCTGAACCCAATTTCAATCACAGCATTCCATATAGCATATGATACCATCTCCACAATCTTGGAAATTCGGAAGCAAGTGAGGCAGAAGTTTCAATCACCTGCCTGTCTATATTCTGAGAGCAGACTGATTAAGTTCTAAAGTCAGAAAGAAATGTTGACAAAAATCAGCTCTGCCACCAACTAGCTGTTACCTTTCTTCTAAAAAAAAGTAGTTAACACCATTTGTCACATAAAGACTTTCCTTGATGCTGAAGATAACAGTGGTGTACGAAAAACTTGTCTGAAAGTGCCTTAAAAATCTGTAAATCTAGTTTTCATCTGGAAGAAGAAAATTATTGAAGCATTATATATTTAGCAATGAATGAATACTAAATGTTTAATTCCTAACATAATGGTTGGATTTCACAAATCTTCCATCATTTCCCTATGATCTATTTACCCTGAATTAAATCTGAACTCCTAAGGAATAGACAAGCAAAGTACAGAATTATCCTTGCCCTTAGCCCGAGTCTCAAAAAAAAAAAAAAAAAAAAAAAAAAAAAAAAAAGCACACGCAAACAATAACAAAACTACTTGAACCTTATGATTCAAGGCTTGTAGATATTTATAAATATATTTACACAAAACTAGTATCAGCATTGTTATCATCCAAATAAAAGTATTCAACTCTACAGAGATACTTAAATCACTCCTTGAATTGGCAACCAGTTGTCAAGTGATGGATCCTTACGCGGTCCACGCATAGATAAAATTAGGAACTAAGCTAAAGGAACTAACCCTATAATGTTGATATGAGGTGAATATTCCTCACGTTGCCCCACATTGTCTGATCAATGTTTCCCCTGGGAGACAAAAAATAATCAGGGCATGCACATTATACATGTTTGTATATTTGAGGTTTTAAATAGGAAGTGTCTCTGGTTCTATGTTTATCTGTCCACAGTCTGTGTCTCCGTGCACCTCTGTATTCCTCCTTTTCTGTTTTTCATGACTGTCCCCTTCCTCAGGAACTATAGGATCTGTATGTGTCATGAGGCCAGTCTGGAGAAGTTGGAAAATGATGTTTAGTTCATGGCTTTACTAGGTTTGCACCCAAATCAACCGATTTTAGGTCATTTTAGAGATGTGGTTCGGAGAAATGATAGGAAAGTCAGAGAATCAAAACTAGGGGTGATTTGTGTGGCGGGAGCTTTTTTCGAGGTGAGAATAAATAAACCAGGGCATTGAGCAGAACTAATCAATTCGTCTACATCTTAAGCTTTGTGCCAGCTCCGCAGATCTTTACAATGTGCTTTTAGATTGAGTTTCTGAGTTGCTCGGGAATTTGTTGTTCTCCCAGTAACTTAAATTACAGGATCGCAGCACTACCCCTAGCTCCTGGTACTCCTGACTGATAGTAAAAGGACTTCAAAGTCTAATTTGGGACCTTAAAGTAGATCTATTCCTGCTCTGTAGCTACTTTCAAGTGCCAAAGGTTTGTGAGGCACAATTAATGAAAACCCAGAGATAGAAACTGGGGTTCAACCTGAAGATCCGAAAAGCAAAGCAGTCAGCCACTGGCCCTTACCTCCATCTCAGTCCGAAAATGGCGAACCTGCCTTCAGGAATCTCAGAATGAGACTGAGTATGAGAGTTTCGTGTCCTAAAACCTTCTCTAGTTCTGGGATTACAGGCGTGCACCACTGGGATTAAAGGTGTGTGTTATTGTGGCCTGGTCCGTAAAGCTGGCCATTGTGGCTGTTTTGCTCTCTGAACTTCAGGCTGGCTTTATTTATTAACATACAATTGAAATGCCACTACAGATTTGCGGTTTGAAAAAGTGACCATGGTGCTGCGATGTTTTAACTACTCAATTTAATTAGACTTTCCTTAGAGTTATACTGAGTCACAAACAAGAAGCTGGAAATCATGTTTTTATAGATAACATCTTCAAAGAGAGAGAAAAGGGACTTAAAAACTATAGGAGTACTTTATGTGTGTTTTTCTACAGCAAGTCTCATTGTTATGGTTACAAATAAATCTCGGCTAATGTGTTACATTATATCTAAGTTAATTATAATGGACAGTTCTTAATAACAGCCAAAGACGGGTCGCCTGTGTCTTATTTATGTTCTTCTATATTTTATTTTATTTCTATAAAATAGTTTATATAGTTGTATTCTACTTCATACTATAGTGCTTTTACTA